AATACGAAGGCTTTTACACTGTTTGTGGGAGTATAAATTAGTTCAACCATTGTGGAAGACAGTGTGGTGATTCCTCAAGGATCTAGAACCAGAAATATCATTTGATCTAGAACCAGCAATCCCATTACTGGGTATATACCCAAAGGATTATAAATCATTCTACAATAAAGACACATACAATAAAGACACGTATGTTTATTGCAGCACTGTTCACAATAGCAAAGACTTGGAACCAACCCAAATGCCCATCAATGATACACTGGATAAAGAAAATGTGGCACATATACACCGTGGAATACTATACAGCCATAAAAAATTATCAATAGAGTTCATGTCCTTTGCAGGGGCACGGATGAAGCTGTAGACCATCATTCTCAGCAAACTAACACAGGAACAGAAAACCAAACACTGCATGTTCTCACTCATAAGTGGGAGTTGAACAATGAGATTACATGGACACAGGGAGGGGAATATCACACATCGGGGCCTTTCAGGGGGTGGGGGACTAGAGGAGGGATAACATTAGGAGAAATACCTAATGTAGATGACTGGTTGATGGGTGCAGCAAACCACCATAGCATGTATATACCTATGTAACAAATCTGCACATTCTGCACATATATCCCAGAACTTAAAGTATAATTTAAAAAAAAATTTAAAGAATTGAAAATATGATAAAACAAAAACAAAATAAAGGTATGGGGGAAAGTATATCTGGAAAGTAAACACAATATGAAAGCAAGGGCAATGATTCTGATATGAGACAAGGCATAATTGAAACAAAAAGCATTAACTGTGACAAAGAAGGATATTCTTTAATGCTAAAAGTCTCAATTCGCCATATACATTATAATATCTACACACCGGAAACACAGTATCTGTTTCTATAAAGTCAAAACTACAAAAGATGCAGGGAGATATAGAAGCCTGCTAATGACAGGAGATTTTAACACACCACTCTCAGTAACATACCATTCTCAGACTAAGTGGACCAATAATAAGAAAGGATACAGAAAGCCTAAACAACATAATCAATTTGTAAGCTTATGATTACATACTGAACTTAACAGCCTGAAAATGGAGAATATACATTATTCTCAACTGCAAATGAAACATTAACAAAAACTGATCATTTATTAGGTTCCACTTCCCCCAAATGTCAATATGTTCCATAAAACTGAATGACTAAAATAGTATTCTCTGATTTTAATGCAATAAAACTAAAAATTATTAACAAATTTTTTTAAGTTAAAAGGCATTTTCATATGGAAACTAAGTAATTTACTATTATACAACTCTTGGAAGAAAAGGCAAGTAAAACAGAACTTACAAAAATTTTTAAATGATAATGAAAACATTATATATCAGAATCTATGGGCTATAGTTTGAATAACAACCAGAAAAAAATTTATAGCCTTAAACACTTTATTAACAAAATGAAAGAATACAAATAAATTCCCACCTCAAGAAGCTGAAAAAAAGAACAACAAAAAGAAAGTACCAAAAAGGAAATAATAAAAATAAAAGCAGTGATTAATTTTAAAAAGCAGTTCTTTTTTTTTTTTTTTTTTTTAAGATGGAGTTTTGCTCTTGTTGCCCAGGCTAGAATGCAATGGCACAATCTTGGCTCACTGCAACCTCTGCTACCTGGATTCAAGCAATTCTCCTGCCTCAGCCTCCCCAGTAGCAGGGATTATAGGCATGCACCACCATGCCCAATTAATTTTGTATTTTTAGTAGAGATGGGGTTTCACCATGTTGGTCAGGCTGGTCTTGAACTCCTGACCTGAGGTGGTCCACCCACCTCAGCCTCCCAAAGTGCTGGGATTACAGGCATGAGCCACTGCACCTGGCTGAAAAAAGTAGTTCTAATTAATAAATTAAAATTCTGCCTGCTGAAGAAAAATAACAAAATAAACATACCACTAGATAGTCAAAGAACTCATAAAGATACAAAATCAGAAATAACAATAGTATACCATTTGTCAATTTTGGCTTTTGCTGCCATTGCTTTTGGTGTTTTAGACATGAAGTCTTTGCCCATGCCTATGTCCTGAATGGTATGTTCTCACTCATAGGTGGGAACTGAACAATGAGATCACTTGGACTCGGGAAGGGGAACATCACACACTGGGGCCTACCATGGGGAGGGGGGAGGGGGGAGGGATTGCATTGGGAGTTATACCTGATGTAAATGACGAGTTGATGGGTGCTGACGAGTTGATGGGTGCAGCACAGCAACATGGCACAAGTATACATATGTAACAAACCTGCACGTTATGCACATGTACCCTAGAACTTAAAGTATAATAATAATAAAAAATAAAAATAAAATAAAATAAAAATAACAATAGTAAAACAACCAACAAAAGAGAAGAAATCCTACAACATTCCTTCACAGACTTTTTTTTTTTTTGAGGCAAAGTCTCACTCTGTCACCCAGGCTGGAGGGCAGTGGCACAATTTCAGCTCACTGCAATCTCCGCCTCATGGGTTCAAGCAATTCTGCCTCAGCCTCCCAAGTAGCTGGGATTACAGGCACCTGCCATCACGCCTGGCTAATTTTTCTATTTTTAGTACAAACTGGGTTTCACTATGTTGGCCAGATGGGTCTTGAACACTTAACCTCAGGTGATCTGCCCACCTCGGCCTCCCAAAGTGCTGGGGATACAAGCACGAGCCACTGTGTCCACTCACTTTACAGACACGTCTACAAATAAATTCGAAAACCTACAAGCACGGGACAATTTCCAAACTTGATCCCATTAGAGACACAAAGTTTAAACAGACTCATTTCCATAAAAGAAATGAAGTTATCAAGAAAGTACTCCACAAAAAGCACCATGCTTCACTAGTTTCGCAGAGCAATCCTACCAAGGATTCAAAGACCAAACAGCCTCAATGCTGTACAAGTTGTTCCAGAGCTTTGGAAACAAAGGAAAATTTCTTAATTCTTTTTTATGAAGCAAGTGAAATACAGACACAGAAACAAAAGGAAAAAAGAAAGAAAACAGCAACTAATATCACCTTTGATGACTGATGCAGAAGCTTTAAATAAAATATTAGCAAACACAATTCAACATTATGGTGAGAAAATGATACACAAAGAGCATGAGAGACTTACTCCAGGAATGCAAGGTTGGTTCAATCCATTAATATAGTACATCATAGCCACATCTCTAAGAAGAAAAATCATGATTATCTCCATAAATGCTGGGCAAAAAAAGCCTTCAACAAAACTTAAGATCCATTTCTGATTAAAAAAAAAAAAAAAACTCAAGAAAATAGGAATTCATGCATACTTTCTTAGTATGACAAACAAATAAACATATAATTTGCATTACAGTCAGAATCTTATTTTTAATAGAGAAACACTAAAGGCATTTGCACTTGTATCATGAATCAGATATTCTCTATAAACTATTTAGCACTGTATTAGTGGTATTTGTGGAGGCAATTTTTAAAAAAATCAATTAGAGGCATCAGAATTGGAAATGAAGGTGTAGAACCACCTTTACTTGCAGGTGATATGATCATACACCTGGAAAACCCTAATGAATCAATGATCTTTAGATGGCAGAGAAACAGGTACTCTCAAACATTGCTGCTGAGTATCAAAATTGGCATATTCCTTATGGATGGGAATTCAGTAACATCTAACAAAACTACATGTGTTTACCTTTTAACTCAGCAATCCCACTTCTAGGAATACCAGACATTAATTCTCCAGTAACACAAAGCTATCATTCACTGTGGCACTGTTTATTTACAAAACATTGAAAACAAGCTAAATCTCCATAGATAGGAGAGCAGCCAAATAAACTACAGTACATCCACACAATGGTGTATTATGCAGAATGAGAATGATCTCTTTGATATAGAAAGATTTCCAGGATATATTTTAAGTGAAAAATGCAAAATTTAAAGGAGTATGTATCCAAAGTATCCCACTCTTTGTGTAAGAAAGGGGGAAATGAGAAAATATATATCTGTCTATGTATATGAGTGAGACTAGTTACCTATAGAGTATGGAACAGAATAAAACAGAAAGGCCGAGGAAATAGAAGGGGGGAAATGACACCTTTCTGAATATATCTTTATGTACATCTTGACTTTTGAAACTATGTCAATGTTTTGCCTAGACAAAATCAACAAGGACGGGAGGAAAACCCTAAAACTGAATACAAACAGAAACAAAGGAATCAAACCATGTTTCAAGTGAATAACATAACCACACTCTAATAGAGAAGAGGAGAATTAACCTAAGTAACTTCTGAATATAGTATTTGAACTAAAGACAAAAAAACTCTAAGCAAGTGCTGAGCTCTAATCAGTAAGATTCTTTTTTTCAAAGGTATGGCTTTGCAATTCTGAAACTACTTTCTAAGCATTACAGGGTTTAACACATAAGAAAATATATTGTGAATAAAATGGAAGTCAAGAGTTACAAATTTGGAAAGAGAAAATAAATCCTGTGTGGTGTGGCACTGTAACTGGAAGTATAAATAGAGACACACACCCACACACACTCTTATCTAGACACCCATGCACATATATACACATATATGTTCATCTATCTACATTCACAAAAAATCATACGTTCATGTTCATTGTTTTTTTCATCTAAGCAATCTTAGCCTTAAGACTCATATAACTAGACCTGAAGAAATGAAATTTCCAAATTTCTAAATCTAAATTTCGAAGATATTGGCTATGCGATCCATAGTGTAGGAAAGTGTTACCATAGGAACATCTATTAGAAAAGAGGGCTTTTAAACAGAATAGCCAGGCTAATACTTGAAGAGAAAAAATTTACTCATATATGTGACTGGATCATGAAAATAGGAAAAATATAATATTAATCCTAGTAAATATTTAAATGTACCCATCTCAGATTATTTTCATGTTAGTAAGAGTAATCACATTATCTTTTATAAAAGTTGCAAAGATGCAAATGTTATCTGGTATTTCAAAAGGAAATGTATTAAAAACCACTGTACCTTACAGTAAAATCATACGAGCAAGAGGCCAGCACAGAAGCATGAAACGGCGAAAACTACAAAAAAAAAAAAAAGAAAAGAAAAAAACCCTTTTTGAAGTCAGCTGTGATAATAATACTGCTTTCTAAGATCATTCCATAAACATTATAATAAATTTAAGTTGAGTCAGAGCTGTCACTTAAAATTATGCTTTTCCAAAGCATATATGCTTTAATTTGAGGCCAAAATCTTCTGGCCTTTTAAGTATCCATCTTTGGGAAAAATATTTTTATATTCTCCAAAGAAAATTATCCCTCAAGCTTTTTAGAACTTACTTAGAACAAAATATTCCCAAAATGTTGCTATTCTGGAAAAATTAAATACAATTTCATACTGGCTATGCAAAAATGATTCTTATAGGCCAGGTGCGGTGGCTCCCACCTGTAATCCCAGCACTTTGGGAGGCTGAGGAGGGCAGATAACCTCAGGTCAGGAGTTCAAGACCAGCCTGGCCAACATGGTTTAATAGAAACCCTGTCTCTACTAAAAATACAAAAATTAGTCGGGCATGGTGGCATATGCCTGTAATCTCAGTTACTCGGGAAGCTGAAGCAGGTGAATTGCTGGAACCCAGGCGGTGGAGGTTGCAGTGAGTTGAGATCATGCCACTGCACTCCAGCCTGGGCGACAGAGAGACTCTGGCTCAAAAAAACCAAAAACAAACAAACAAACAAAAATGATTCTTACAAATATAAGGGATTTAATTATATAATAGTACAAATATATAATTATATCATTTACCAATTTTACAAATATATGATTGCTATAATCACAAGTTATCAAAATAAACATTTAAATGTTAAATAAAAACACCTTTAAGATATTTTTATGTTATTTGTATATTACAGCTAATGGAAAATGATATCAAGGATAAAAAGCAAGTTTAAAGACAAGTAACGTCTTCTAGATGAGTAAAAATGTACTTAATAAGTTGACCTTTGCAATTACCTTTCTTCAATGTTTGTCTTACCAGCACTTTAAATAGTTAAATACACATATGTAACTACATTTGACCAGCACTTAGTTTGCAAAGTACTTTCACTACATTACCTTATTGCATTCTCAGAATCACTCTGAAATATACATACAGCATATTTTTCAACTGCTAAAACTTGTCCACATAAAACAAATTTTTATTAAAAAATAAAACAGCACTGTGTCTCCTATGTTGCATTGCAGCCAGCGAAACTTAAAATATTAACTTAACTAAAAATTTAGAATTTTTGGCCAGGCATGGTGACTCAGCCTGTAATCCCAGCACTTTGGAAGGCTAAGGCAGGTGGATCACTTGAGGTCAGGAGTTCGAAACCAGCCTGAACAACACTGTGAAACCCCGTCTCTACTAAAAATACAAAAAAATTAGTGGGGCATGGTGGCGCACACCTGTAGTCCCAACTACTCAGGAGGCTGAGGCAGGAGAATTGCTTGAACCCAGGAGGCAGAGGTTGCAGTGAGCCGAGATCGTGCCACTACCCTCCAGCCTGGGTGACAGGGCAAGACTGCATCTCAAAAAAAAGAAAAACAAACTTAGAATTTTTAAAATAGTAGGAATACTGTAATTATCTTATTAAAATAATCTATAAGGTACTTTTTTACCCTTAACGTAAAAAAAAAAAAAAAAAAAGGATGAAATTGGGAGATGTCACTTAATAAGATGCTTTCCACAGTCATTTAGCAGAACCTGCCTAAATGAAAGCCAGGAAACTAACCTAAGTCATCTTATAACCCAGAGAAATTTACTGGGACCATCATTAAAAATTTACCTCATCCTCTGCTGTTCAGAGTAGAAAACTTTCTATATCCCAAACATCTGTGAACAGTCATGTATGTTATCATGTCAGGAAAAAGAAAGAATTAACCATCTCTTTACACCTGTTTCAACAAAGAGACTCTCACTGATTAGAAACTTATAAAGAACATAATACTAAAAGTGAATTACTATAGTTAAAAAAATAATATTAAAGGAAATAACAGATTGGGGGTGAAAGAATGAGAAAAAGATTTTTATTTAACGTTAAGTATTGAATGTCTACATTGCCCAAAAAATTCATTCAATAATTATTCAAATATTCTTAACTAATTTTAGCTTTCAATATTAATTAACTAGGTAACAAAAACACATATAAGAAAGAATGAGTAACTCCAATCCCTAAACCCAGAACACTTCTTAATATATGCTTCATTGATTATATTTATGTAATTTTATTCTACATATAAAAGAAAAGATGAAAACTTACTTTCACCCTCCTAATAGCATAAGTATGACCAAGAAGTTCAAACACTGGTTGTCGTACATTCCTTAAGTCCCAGCCTCTCAAACTACAGTCAACTGCACCTGTCACCAGCAAATTCTAAAAACAATTCAGAGAAACATAAACTGTGACATCTTTGCAATTAAACAGTATGCAGGCTTTCCTACTAGAAATAACATCTACTTTCTGATAATTATTTAATATGAACCCAGGAGCCATTTTTGAGAAGTTGTATAACAAGTACAGACAGGAATCAACATAGACATTAATAGCAAAAAATTAATATGACTTGTGAGAAAAAGAACTCAATATGCTTTATGTACATGATGGAACACTACACACAGCTGGAAAAGGCATCGTTCCAAATAGCATTGTGGATTTTCTAATCCACCTTTAGAAGTGGCAGTAAGTACACAGGGGACTAACATTTTTATCTGACAAATGAGCCCAGCTTTCTCTTCAAATGGTTTTCCCTGGAATCCCAGCACCTTGGGAGGCAAAGGTGAGAGGATTACTTGAGGCCAGGAACTTGAGACCAGCATGGGCAATAAAGCAACACCCTGTCTACCCAAAAAAATTAAAAAAATTAGCCAGGCATGGTAACACACACCTGTAATTTTAGCTACTTGAGAGGTTGAGTGAGGCAGGAGGACTGTGTGAGCCCAAGAGTTAGAGGCTACAGTGTGCTGTGATCACCCCACTGTACATCAGCATGGATGACAGAGCAAGACCCTGCCTCTAAAAAAATAAAATAAAAATTTAAAAAAGGTTTTCAAGACTGGGTGCGGTGGTTCACTCCTATAATCCCAGCACTTCGGGAGGCCGAGGCCGGTGGATCACTTGATCCTAGGAGTCTGAGACCAGCCTGGGCAACAGTGAGACCTCGTCTCTAAAAAACAAACAAACAAAAAGGGTTTCAACATACTCTGAGGTTTTTCCAGGCATTAAAAGGCAAGAGGTCTGTTCATTTAGGTACATCTGAAAAAGCAAAGGCTATGAATTAAATTTTTCCATGTTCTCTAAATCTAAATTAATCATTGTTTCCAACTCTCTTGGACCACAATTCTTAATACAATATCTAATCATATCCAAGAATGTAATCAAATAGTGGTGAGTCTCTTATCTATTCTGGCTTTACAAATTCTGCTATCTAGAGCCCCAAGTGAACCCAGAGGTCCTAGCTGAATAGGTCAAGTGCTGGGTCCACACTCAGTCCACCCCACATAACCCAGAACAGCAAAGGACTTAAGTTGGTGCAAAAGTAGTTGCAGTTTTTGCATTGAAAGTAATAGCAAAAACTGCAATTACTTTCGCACCAACATAACATTGTCTGACTATGTTGGGTTTTAGTGTAAGCTAATTTGAAGAAAAGTTTCAGTTATTAGAAAATAAATTTTGCAAACCACTCTCAAATGTCTATCAGCATCTTTGTTTAGAATTCCCAAACATCTAACATACAGGCCATAATTAATTTTCCAATATGAAAAATTCATTTATGACTTTGAAACTGTAGTCATCAGCATTGAAATGTTTAGATTAATATCATTGCATATGTACTTATTAATAACTTATTTTACTTATTTTTATTTAAAGAACTCTGTCAGTACAATGTTCTTTTAGCTTTAATTAATTTAAAACTGGGAAAAAACAAAGCATATATTTTATGTATTTGTCATGGTCAACAGACTACTTCAGGGACATAAATACGGTCATGCATCACTTAATGATGGGGATATGCTCTGAGAAATGTGGCATTAGGCAATTTCATCTTCGCGTGAACATCACGGAACGTACTTACACAAACCTAGGTGGTACAGCCTACTACACACCCAGGCTAGATGAAACAGCCCATTGCTCCTAGGCTACAAGCCTGTCCAGCATGTTACTGTACTGAATATTGTAGGCTACTGTAATACAATGGTAAGGATTTCTGTATCTAAACACAGAAAAGGTACAGTAAAAATATAGTATGGAAGATAAAAAATGGTAGTAGGGTACTTACCATGAATGGAGCTTACAAAACTGGAAATTACTCTGGGTGAGTCAGTGAGTGAGTAGTGAGTGAATGGGAAGGCCTAGAACATTACACTAAATTTATTTTTTTAATTTCCTTTCTTCAATAATAAATTAACCTTAGCTTACTGTAATTTTTTGCTTCATAAATTTTCTATTTTTTTTTTAAATTTTTTTTTGTTGTTGTTTTGAGATGGAGTCTTGCTCTGTCATCTTACTATATTTTGCTTCATAAATGCTATTTTTTAAATTTTTTGTTGTTGTTTTTGAGATGGGAGTCTTGCTCTGTCATCAGGCTAAATTTTTTTTTGTTGTTGTTTTGAGATGGAGTCTTGCTCTGTCATCAGGCTGGAGTGCAGTGGCATGATCTTGGCTCACTGCAACCTCTGCCTCCCAGTTCAAGCGATTCCCCTGCCTCAGCCTCCCGAGTAGCTGGAACTACAGGCGCCCGCCACCACGCCTGGCTTTTTTTACTTTTTGATTCTTCATAATAACAAAACTTAAAACACAAACACATTGTAGAGTTATACAAAAATACTTTCTTTCTTTATATCTTTATTTTATAAGCTTTTTTCTATTTAAAATTTTTTTTTTAAACAAAACTGAGACACACATGCATTAGTTTAGGGCTACACTGAGTCAGGATTATAAATATCACTGTCTTCTACTTCTACATCTAGTCCTGCTGGAAGGTCTTCGGGGGCAATAGGAATTTTTCAGCTCCATTATGTCTTAAGGGCCCTGTCATATATGCAATCTGTCATTGGCTGAAATGTTGTTATGCAGTGCATGACTGTAGTATATTAACACATATTTAATCCATTTCTATCTCTGATTCATATGTTCATGTGGTTAACTGAAGCTTTAAAAAAGTTGCACATGGACATTTATCTTACAGAGGCATGAAAATTGGTTAGGCTTAAAAAGGAAGATGAAACAGAAAAAATTAAAAACTGATGGACTATCAAATTAAAAATCAAATTACAAATAGTTCAACAGCCTGACTAGCAAAGTGAAAAAGAAATAAAAGCAAAAGATGATACAAAATTGCAGGGTTAAGAGCAATAGAGAAAAACATTACATAAATTGGTAAGGCAGCTTCCCAAAACAAACAAGTAAGGCTGCACTGTTGAACTTTGAAAATTTCTGTTTCTTATTTTGCCCGTTTTATGAGCACTTATATCCAATTAATGCTAATGCAGGTCAGTCACAATCATTAATTAGAAAGAGAAGGGACAGAATTTAACTTAATGGTCCAGGAACACCACCAAAGTCCACATAAACAAAGATAAATAAAATTTAGAACATTTTAACATTAGGAAGGACAGCAGCTTAGGATAGAGCCATACACTGTACCTCACTGTATTTACACCAGTCACAACTCAAGATTTCTGCCTGATGTGCGGGAATCACGATTCTGACTCCTGCTGCCTTCACATCCCATATTCTCAGAGTCTGATCACCTGGTAAAAAGGAAGACTTGATCATTTCCCATCACACCACTTGAATGCGCAGTGACATAATGTGTTCATAATAATAAGTCAAGTAAAAATACACTGCTTTCAGTGTTAGGATACTGCCACCTTTAGACTAATTTTTTTAAACCATAATAATGTATAGGAACTATTCAAATGAAGGAATACAAAAGTGACGTTGCACCGTGATAATGCTTTTAGGAGGAAAATTTGAATCTCACAGAGATAAACACAATATTGACTAATCACACACCTGCTGCTTTTTTCTTTGAGGCAGGAAAGGCCCTGAAAATTCTTGTGTTAGGAAATAAAGTGATCACTCTGTACCAGCATATTGTACTAGAAACCAACAATAGAGTAACAATTTTACTGCTAAAGGCGGGCAAAGTCTACCAAGCCAAAATGGAGAATTTTTTACTTTTCATTGTCAAGTACGCTATATGTTAATGGGCCAGCTATACGTGTACTTTTCTCCTCAAAAAAAAAAAAAAAAAAGCTAAAAAAATTTTATTTATTTATTTATTTTGAGATGTGGTCTCGCTGTCACCAGGCTGAAGTACAGTGGCATGATATTGGCTCACTGTAACCTCCACCTCCTGGGTTCAAGTTATTCTCCTGACTCAGCCTCCCGAGTAGCCAGGACTACAGGTGCGCACCACCACGCCCAGCTAATTTTTGTATTTTTAGTAGAAACAGGGTTTCACCATGTTGGCCAGGATGATCTCGATCGCCTGACCTCGTGATTGGCCTACCTCAGCCTCCCAAAGTGCTAGGATTACAGGCGTGGGCCATAGCGCGTGGCCTATTTATTTTAATATTTTTTTGAGACAGAGTCTGGCTCTCTTGCCCAGGCTGGAGTGCAGTGGCACGATCTCGGCTCACTGCAACCTCCACCTCCTGGGTTCAAGCAATTCTCATGCCTCAGCCCCCCAAGTAGCTGGGATTACAGATGTGTGCCACCACACCCAGCTAATTTTTGTATTTTTAGTAGAGATGGAGTTTCACTCAGGTGCGGTGGCTCACACCTGTAATCCCTACACTTCCGGAGGCCAAGGTGGGCGGATCACCTGTAGTCAGGAGTCTGAGACCAGCCTGGCCAACATGATGAAACCCTGTCTCTACTAAAAATACAAAAAATTAGCTAGGCATGGTGGCAGACGCCTGTAATCCCAGCTACTGGGGAAGCTAAGGCAGAAGAATCACTTGAACCTAGGAGGCAGAGGTTGCAGTGAACCGAGATTGTGCCACTGCACTCCAACCCAGACAACAAGAGTGAAATTCTGTCTCAAAAAAAAAAAAAAAAAAAAAAAAAGAGTGAGAGAGACAGGGTTTCACCATGTTGGCCAGGCTGGTCTTGAATTTCTGACCTCAGGAATCCTCCCCGCCTCAGCCTCCCAAAGTGCTGAAATTACAGGTGTGAGCCACCACGCCTGGCCAACAAGCTAAAAACATGTAAAGATTACACTTTGCATTATTACAAAAATAGTTTGCATTACCTAACTGCACAGTCACCTGATTAAATGTTTTACATGTTGCTTGCCTCCAATTTTTCTAAACTATAGGAAACAAAAGATGACAAGATCAATAAAATCCAGAATATATACAGCTACCTCAAAAGTAAAATACAAACAACTGATGATGGGAGAAAACCCAGTTCCATGTAATGAAAAGCATGCAGTTTCTGGCATTTTACCAGGTGGGGTCATGAATGCCATTTTGTGGTTCTAGGTCCCTGCATAGGATATGTAATATCTCTGAGACTGATTCATTTCTAAAGGAGACGCAGAATGCCCAACATGCAGCACTGTCTAAGAATTTCACCAAGTTTCTGTAAAGCACCTGGCATGGTCTCTAACACATAGTAGACACTGCCAAATATGGTATATAAAAGTGCTAAATTTTTAAAGTATCTTTTACTTATCTACATATATTTTCCTATATTCCCAATTCTAAATCATATATTGTTAAGCTAAATTTAGCTATCCTAGGCAATTTTTTTCTGGCTTCTTTGGAAGTTGCTTAAGAAAGATAAGAAATGTGTTGGCAGTAATGAAATGCAGAGGTTAAGAACGGGGCGTTTGGAGTTCCCGAGCTTGGTTCTAATCCAGCTCAATCATTTGGTGGTCACTGATGCTTAAATCAAGTTACTTCGCTGATCTTCAGTTTGCTACCTACAATAAAATAACTGCCTTGTAAGGCTGAAATGAGACAAGGTAGTAGCGTGAGTACGGTGCCAGATGTGTAGTAAGCTCTCAATATGTGTTTTTTTTAAATGAGAAAAAATACCCATGATTACAAGTTATTTCTGTCCCCCCAGTAATAACAACATGAATAATAGTTAATACTTATTGAGTGCTTCCAATGTGCCACATACTGTTCTAAGCATTTTATACATATTTTTTCTAAAAACATCACAACTACATAAAGTAGGAATTTGGAGATATAAAAAGTAATTGTATAGTACTATACAAATGAGGAATATAGTACTATACAAATGCAGCATATAGAGATGAAATAACTTACCCAGGATAGTAAGCAACAGAACCAGGACCTGGACCCAGAACTCAGGGAGTCTGGGTCCCCAGCATGTGCACTTTACAGCTTTACAACTATGCTGCACTGCTGCCTCCTTGTGTTGCTGGAGGACAAATGCCATACAATCAATGTTGGCTAATTCTGGAGGAATTATTTTAATTCTTTTAATTTCCAGGCTGGAGTGCAGCAGTGCAATCTCGGCTCACTGCAACCTCCACCTCCCAGACTCAAGCAATCCTCCCACCTCAGCCTCCCGAGTAGCTGGGACTACAAGCGCACACCACCATGCCCCACTAATTTTTCTATTTTTGGTTTTGCCATGTTGGCCAGGCTGGTCTCCAGCTCCTGAGCTCAAGCGATTCACCTGCCTCAGCCTCACAAAGTGCTGGGATTACAGGTGTGAGCCACTGCATCCAGCCCTATGTTACTTTTTCTTTAAATTGGAGAAAAATCTGTTATATTTTCAATACCACTTCCCATCTCCCTGCCCAGAGACCACAACAGTCATGAATGTGGTCCACAGTCCTTTAGTCTGCGTTTTGGTAATACTTCTATTACATTTTTATGGATCCACAAATACGTACTACTATTGCTTTGTATGCAGGATTTTTTTTTCCTTTTTTGATTTAAAAATATTGTCTTACTACGTTAAAAAAAGGTTGAAAACCACTTTGATAGACAAGAGTAACAAACATTTTTGGACCTAGCTAAGGATGGTACCTCCATCCACAGCACCTCATTCCTTGTTCAGACTACAGATGACAGGCCAAATGGGGGTACTTGGGATTTTTCTGAACTACAACTGAAAAATAATGTCAGTCCCTCTTCTATGGCAGAATTGACAAGTTACAAAATTCAGGACCCACTAGTGACAACATATCTCATTGTGAAAAACAAATGATGAGTTTGAAAGTACCAAAAGGAAATTGTTCAGAATTGGTACAGGTTAGAGCTTCAAATAACTTCAAGGGCCCTCATTATAATCACTGTCTGTGGTCTAGCCACCAGTCAGTAGAATTTGCTTCCAGAATGCCAAATAGCTTTGATGCAATGATCTCTCATGATTTTCTCCAGCCTTCAGTGTGTAATGCCGGGTGACGTGGATGTCTAGTGTTTGGCCTGCCCAGAAATACCCTTTTTCTAGGAATATCATATGTCCTTTTCTCACCAAGTGATTCTATAAAGACTTACACCTCAACACAACTGACTGACCAAAGGTAGGTCCAGGCAAGACCAACTACAGTACCTCAGTCCCTGCTCTGACTACAGCTGAAAGGTCAAAGGTAGGTACTTGGGATTTTTCTGAACTATAACTGAAAAAATAATGTCTGTCCTTCTCTTATGGTAGCATTTACAACTTAAAAAATTCAGGAGGCCGGACATGATGGCTTACACCTGTAATCTCAGCACTTTGTGGGATCACTCGAGCCCAGGAGTTCGAGATCAGCCCGAGCAACACAGTGAGATTCCATTTCTACAAAAAACTTAAAATTTAAATTTAAAATTAAAAAATTTAAAAATTAGCCAGGCATGGTGGCGTACACCTGTAGTCCCAGCTACTCTGGAGGTTGAGGTAGGAGAACTGCTTGGGTCCGGGAGGTCGAGGCTGCAGTGAGCCATGATCGCACCACTGCACTCCACCCTGGGTGACAGAAAAGACCCTGTCTCAAAAACGTAAAAATATGGCCAGGCACAGGAGCTCATGCCTGTCATCCCAGCACTTAGGGAGGCTAAAGCAGGATTACTTGAGACCAGGCGTTTGAGACTAGCCTGGCCAACATGGCAAAACCCTGTCTCTACTAAAAATACAAAAATAAATAAATAAATAAATAAATAAATAAATAAATAAGCCAGGCATGGTGGCACACGCCTGTAATCCCAGCTACTCAGGACACCGGGGCACAATAATTACTTGAACCCCAGAGGTGGAGGTTGTGGTGAGCTGATATCATGCCACTGAACTCCAGCCTGGGCAATGGAGTGAGATTCTGTCTCAAAAAATAAAAATTATATATATAAATAATATGTAATATATATAATTTTTATTTTTAATTTTTATTTTATTTTAAAATATATATATAAAAATACAGAAAAACATATATATATAGCTTTGACGAAATAATCTCTCATGACCTTCTTCAGCCTTCAGTGTATGTGTGTGTGTGTGTATATAAATACAGTGAATTTACATATATATATATAAAAATTCAGGAGCCACTCACTGGTGGCCATGTGTCTCACTGTGTAGAGAAAGCCAGTCCACAGAGTCAAGTCAACAAGTAGAGAAAAGTCCAGATGAGAGACAGAATGTGTCCTGGGCCTTTCAAGCAGCCCTTCCTTTTCTGGAGTACGCTTTTTAACAAATTTCACAAAGATCTAACATAGTTCCAGTTCTATCACTTGTAGGCAAAGGATATCACTCATTACAATAAGGGAGCAAAGGGTATTCTCCT